GAGCTCGACTCGCAATCTGTGGGTCGCGGGTTCGAATCCCCTTCACAACCAAACATGCTCGCCCTTTCAGCCGTGGGGGCGTTATAATGTGACGATCAATCCCACTATTAGTCGGTAAAAGAGTAGCCCAAGAGTTGGCGGTGGGTGGTGATGACTAGCTGCCTTCCCTCTAGCCTTACACTGCTAAAAATCATAAATTTAATTTTTTAACGTTTTAAAATTATTTTGGGAAAAAAAAGTAATGTGCGATTTTTTTTTCCATTCTACCAATTTTCCCATTACATAATTACCGGAGCAGTTTTATCCGGGATTCGATCCAGATTCCCTATATTAGACGGCCCTTGAAATTCATCCTGTTTTCATGTAAAACATAAAGGTTTTCAATACTTCATACAAAACCGACGTATGTCACGGAACATGGAAATAGTCGTCCTCGTGAAATAAATGTACATTAATGCTCTCCCATGACTCGGTGGTAAGCTTGAAGGTTTATAGCGCCAAATTTCAGTGTTCGATTCCTGCAATGAGCACAGTACGGGTGAATTATTTAGATGCCACGCGTTTAAATTGGATTATTTTTTATTGTACTGTCCGTCTAAAACATTTATAGGTAAGTCAGAGTTTCATCATCTGTTATTATAATTATCATATTGTGACCAAAACGTCTGTGTTTTATATTGTAACTTTTGTCTAGTATCTATCACTATTCAAGCTATAAGCAGGACTCGTCTTAGGCCTGATCTTACGTAGATACAAACGTGGGAACACTATAAGTGTGTTCTGTTATAAAAATGTTAGTATATAGCATTTCAGTTTCTTTTTTGCTTTCTTCTTTTACATTCTAAGATACAAACAAAAAATAATGTTTGTTTTAGGCTATATCTGGAGTAACTACAATTTAAACAAGGCCAAGTCTTATAGCTTTTGAAGTGTGACCGTAAAGTTTCAAAAACGTAGACACGCAGTTCTAAACTTTTATATTATTAGGCCTATTTACAAGTGTAACCACTGATGGTACAAATGCGAAGATGGTCTGAGACTACACCGCTCTGAAATAACAGGGTCCCGCTCAGATGGGCTTCGGTCATGCAACCCATTTTATCCTCCGATTACCTTCACAACCACTTTGAAAGTGCGTGGACCTTTTTGAAAAACAACTGTGCGTGTGTCGAAGAGGGGCCCGTCTGTCAAACCTAACTACTCGAAATTTCTGTTTGAAACGGGTGTTTTTGTGTCACAACTGAACATATACTGCCTTGATAACAGTACAGGGGGTCATGCTAAAATGAAATCATGCCCTTCTAACAGAAAGATGGACACACATATATATATATATATATATGAGTTTGCGATAAAAGTTTGGGCTTTTGTATTTTTCATGATTTGTCATGGATTCTGGAAGAACATTTTAGCAAAAAAAGTTAGAAATAAAAACGCCCTCTACATACCAGGTAATAACAAAAAGACTAGTTTAGTTTTTTTTCCAACTTTATTGAACTTTGCTAAACTGAAGTATGTGAAATTAAACCTGCACCTGGTAGGTGGCGCTTTTAGCGTTTGATTCCCCGCTTGTTTAAATAAACAAATCCCAAACATTTTCGGAAATAGATCGCACAATAAAACTGAAATTCAAACCGTTTTTGAAATAAGAATTGGATAAAATGTTAAAAACAAAACAAATATAAAACTTTATTTTTTTATCTATTCCAAAATAATTTTGCGATGGAAAATAAATGCAGTCCAATTTCAGGTAAAAGGATTGTCTTGGAATATTATAAAAAAAAAAAGGAACATTCCATACTTAGTGAGAAATAATTAACAAAAAAGAAATAAAAGAGCAGTCCCCGGTTTCTTTAAGTACTTGGAGGAAAGTCGTATTATAAACGTATACTTACATAGCCAGACTTCCGTGGTAGGTAACCGTTCAATTGCGTAAACAAGGTTCAACGTCCTCTCGTCTGCGCATGTCCTATCCATACAGCTAGGAGATTACAATGGCTTTGTTTGATATTTCAGTCGTGCTATAGAGCCTCAAGACTCTTTTTACAGCCATTTTTTTATATTATTATTATTATTATTATTCAACGTACGAGTTAGCTAAATAAAACAGGAGATTGAAAATATCGCACAATTTTCAGTTTTGGTTGAAATGTCCAAACATTCTGAACATCACTTCTTTTATTATTTATCAAAGTAGTTTAATGTCAAATGTTTTAACGTCCACGATAAAGTCTGAAACTAAAGAAAATTTTGTATGTTGTATAATTTACACCCTCTGTTAGCCTCATTTCACGAGATGTCGCTGCGCGATACACACTCGTAAAACAGGAAACCTCAGTAAATTTGTGCCATTGCACACGCTGTGAAGACAAAAAATAAATACAAAATTATTTATTACATTGTCATAAAAGTACAATTTAATCAGTTATCACGACAGTAGCATCACGTAACATACACTTCATGATATACATCATAAATGTCTGTTGTGTGCTAACCGGTCTGATGAGCCTTGGTATTGGGCGAAAAGCTTCGTTGGCACTGGATATAGCAGACGCATTATGTTTGACACATTATAACATACTAGAAGAAACCCGCAAAACACTTGCAATCAAGTTAGTATCTTTATTGCAACAGTATTTCTACAAGAATTCTAATCGCAGACACCGAAATCTGCAAGTCCACTTGTCTTAGGCCTAACATTAGTTAAGCCTTTATTAAATACTGTCTATATTCGGTAAAAGAGATAAATTAACACTGTAACTTAGTACAGTTTTTACTTTAGTTTAGTTAGGGCTAGATGTTATCGTACTTTATACCATCAATAAATAAACTTATAATGTTATTATACGACATAACGTTACACCTTTTTAAAAACTTTTAAGCTTTTAACATGTTGCTGTACAAAATGTCCAGTGAACTATATTTACATCCGCCTTTTGGTTACATCTAATGAAGTGCGCGCACATGCGTCTTTAGATTGTAAAGTTCGCGCGCTTTTTTCCGGACAGACAAAAACTGAGTATTGTTATAATAGATTCTGAACTGCTTTCACTGATAGGTTCTTAAAAATAAATATCACCATATATTTGTAGCTATAAACTAAGCCCCATTCGATCTACCAAAAAAATTGAAAGAACCATGTCACTATGTATGTGAGAATCTATGTATGTAATAGTACTGTCTGTTGTATGTCCATGTAACTACTTCGCAGGGTGTAGATGGATCTTCACCATATTTGGTAAGGAGATTCATCAGTTCCATGCGGGGGTGCATAAAAATTTTTAGTTTTGCATTTTGCCGTTTTTATGAGCGTTTTTTACCACAATTCGCCCACTTTTGATGGATCTTCACCAAATTTGGGAAGAAGATTTGTTGGGTCTATGTGGAAATATATGCGAACTTGGGGTTTCACATTTTGCAGTTTTTGTTGGTGTTTTTGACAATTAATATAAGGGAAGCAACTTTTCTTGTCTTCAGATAACCTTTCATTAATCATGAATTTACATAACTTCCGTCCAGGGGACGGGTACTCCAGCTAGTTATTTATATAATTACAATGTTTCACCAGGTTAGCTAGGCCTCATTATGTACCTGGTGAAACGCTGTAGCCATACAAATAATACTGTGTTTATCCGATAATAAACAAGTTTTCAAACAATACAGATAAGTTGACAAGTATCAATTCTTTCTGTACAAGATCTTATCAGTTTTAACGTTAATTCGATTTTAAAGGCTTAATGTTACATTTATCATCAGTTTTTTATGAACGAGATTAAACAAGTGAATTGTAATTATTATCCACTTTATTTATGTATTTTGCGAATCAGAGAAACAAAATAAAATAAATAAAGATTGTTTATTTTACATTTGATATTTTATTCTTTAACTAAATTTACTATCATTCATATGAACTGACAAACCAGCAAGAGAGTGAGTATTCTTGTTCCCGGATTAAGTCACGTGACAACAAAGGAAAAAAAAAAACTAATATATGTTATAACATCTGAACAACAACACTACATCTGCCATATCCAGTGTTGACGAGGCCTTACACTATCTTTAATTTTCATCAAAACAAATTAAGAAAGAAGTCAATATGGCTTTAATGACAACACATGAAAAGAGTAGCAAACGATGTAATTTCAGTGCTAAACCCAGCTGCAAAATTAAACGATCTCAAACTTTGAAAGAGTATGTAGGTGTATTAAAAACATCTACACAGTCACAAATAATGCTAGGAAACCATGTAGATACCAAAAATTGACTTACTACAAAAGTAAAGTACCCTCGAACCTGAATGCTTTCGAAAGGTAAACCTTTCTTCATCAGGGTTGAACTGGGAATGACCAAGTGTTAAAGTTGAAGTGACACAATGGTAGACCATCATGATAACCAGGAAGTATTTTAAATAGCCTTCAATGTCACAGAAATATTGTACAAATTTTTTTTTTTATATATATCCCTTTGTGATTAGCCTATTGTTGAAAAGCCAATGATTGACAGTAAGCAGTTAAATTCAGTACTTAGTTGTTAGGAGATTTTGGGCTTAGACAGGAATTCCACATGGGCCCTTATATATGTAAGCACTATTTTACAACCCTTGATCTACAAGCACCGATTCTCGAATTTTGATAATGTTTGCAACAAGTGATGGTAGAAGTTATTATTACCTATGGGCCATGACCAACTGATGATTGGCTAGGATGAACCCCTAGGGGATTCTTGGTTGAGCTGGTTGGCCCTAGGTAACTCTAATTTGCATAAATCTTGAGCCACTATTGTTTTAGTTATTAAAAAACAAAAACATATCTCTTCATCTTAAAACAGCGTTATTCTAAATGTCCTAGAATAAGTTCCCGTGTTTATCCAGAAATCTAAAGGCTTAGAACTTTCCAGAAATCTAAAGGCTTAGAACATTCATTAAATAATTGTGGGATATGGAAGCCATATTTAATTTAACCAGTTCTATATTTAGGTCTGTAGTCATACTGATGGCTGACCTTTTTCAGTGACCACCCATAAAACCAATTATTCACCCACCCAGTTTCGTAGCACTTTCTTTTCTTCGTACCAGGCTGTAAATCTCTCGAATCTTTCTGTGTTATGGAAGAATTTTCTGTATCTTTTTCTTCATCTGAGCTTTTTCTAGAGAAAGAAAACACAAAAACAATATTTGAGAAAATAGATTAAAACTCTCAAACTCCTTCACTGAAAAGTTAGTCTAATGAAATAATAATAATAATAATTAAATAACATTGTTAATAATAAAAAGAACAAAAAACACGCATGTGTTTATCGACCAGTCATATTTTAAGTCACTAGTGGTATAAACCATCACACTTGTATAAATTCAGTAGCATTAGGCACATACATTTTAAGTGGTCATAAGATATTCAAAATTTATAAACTTGCGGTTGCTATTAATATGTGCAACATTCAGTACTGCAATTATATAGTACTAATTTATTTTTTGTGGTATTATAGCATTTTATAGATTTATCTATTTTTCCCCACCTGCTACTCTAATTATACATGTCTTAATCGAGTACAAAAACAGTTTCATACTGTAGAACTTAAACAATGATTTGCTTATGAATTTTGCACCTAGGTACGTGAGGGCTATCTTTGCTCGCCATCTCTAATTTAGCAGTGGTTTACTAGAAGAAAGGCTGCTAGTCAACACCACCCACTGCCAACTCTCGGGCTACTCTTTTGCCAATAACTAGTGGGATTGACTGTTACATTATAATGCCACTATGGCTGAAAGGACAAGCATGTATGGTGGGACAGGGAATCGAACCCACAACCCTCAGATTGCAAGTCAAGTGATCTTAACCACCAGTCCATGTGAGGTCTATAAACAATGAACTAAGTTCTGGGGAACCAAAATAACGAGGTGACGTGATAAAACATGTACTCACTGTGTATCTTTGGAGCTGTTTATGTTTTTCCCATGACCTGAAATGTCGGATGCCTTACGTTTCTGAGTTGTCTGAAGCAACTGTTCCTCTTTGCTGCTCTCAGATGCTGTCAATTCAGTTCTTGGTAAAAATTCTGGAGTCTTACAGAAATCAGAATCAGATACTTTGATGCTAACTGACATTGTTCCTTCATAATTGTCCTCGGAACAAGATTCGTGCAGTCGTTTTTCACTGACTGATACTAGTTCGGATAGAGAGCTACTGTTAATATCATCATTGTTCCTGTTGCAGTTTAAGTTAATACTAGTGTTACTTCTTTTAGAAGAAACCCTACTAGTACCTTTGGTTTCACAGTCTGTTTTGTGAGTCACGTTTTGTTGGCTTTCCTGACATTCACTGTCACAGTTTTCTTCAGCACCAGTTCTAGTCAAATCAGTTTCTACATTCTTTTGATCCCTCATCTCGGAGGGACTCGTTTTTATGCTGTTATTATGCTCTTCGCTGTGATCGGTGGTTATCTTTAAGTTTTCTTTATCATTATCTTCACACTGTTTCACACACATATCATCATAAGTAACACGGCCACTAAAAACTGAGGAGTCATCAATTGAAGATTTATTAATCTTATCAATTCTAGAAGACACTAGATTACCCCTGTCATCTTTTTCCAAGGTACATTCTTCAAGAAAAGGACATTTAGCTTTATCCTGACTATTGGATGAGCCAGTTATATTTCTGGTTTTCAATTTTTGACAGGTATCTCCTTTATCAGGAACACAAAGCTGGGACTGGTTTTCCCACTTACCAATGATGGAGTCGGTCAGGTAATCATTTCCGATTGGTCCGCACAGAGCCATATCTACAACATGGTTTATAATTTTTTGTTGACTTGTCTGAAATGTCTTCGGTTGTCTTTTGCACAGATTAAGAGGTTCATCAGCTAAAGCACTTGTACTGGAACAACTTGCTGATGGGGACTGGATCTGATGACACGATGAACTCAAATTCTGGGTTTTTGAAGGGGATTTCGATAATCTTTTCCTTGAAGCACTGAACGTCATTTGTGATGATTCCTTGTCACTAAATGCCTGATCAATAATACGACTGGCAATGTCCATTTCCATCATTGGCATAGAGATGTAGACTTGTCTGTTTTGAGGGACTTCGGGCCTATCAGTACCGTTTGATGGACCATAAGACTGGACAGATTCATTTCTACTAAACGTTTCTCTGTTATGGGGATCAGGTGATTTTGTTTGTATGCTGAGATGACCAGGTGAAGCAGATACATGTCCCTACACATAGATATTGATAAAACAGAAGAAATATTTACAGAGAAGAAATAAAAAAAAACAAGAAAATCCTTACAATATTAATGAGCGTTGCTACTAGCTCTGACACGATGGTTTCATTTAAATGGTAAATGGTTTATGTAAATACACACAGACTTGCACACAAAAAATCAATATGCATAATTAACAATGTATGATAATCCATTATCTTCTTCAAGGTTTTTTGTTGTTTTTTTTTACAACTGAAGTTGGATTTAATTATAAAAATTCCAAAGTGGAATAGCACTAGATATCAACAATATATTTATCTTTCATCAACATTTCATAAAATATATCTCAAGATTCCTTGAATGTTAAATGATAACTTACAATATTTAATAATTATTTTACACTACAATACTCCACATTTGATACACTTTCACATCTTATAAATCCTTCCAGGATGTACTAGTGTATGTTTGAAAGTGTAATCAGTTTGTTCTCTATTAAAGATGTTTCTACATATTATAGGAAATGATGATGTAAAAGCCATAAAGTTTGAAATAACGGAGATTTACCTCGGCTAATTCAAGTAATACAGAACAAGTACTTCCCGGGTTTGGTTCAACGGCAGGTTTGAAAGTTCCGTTTTGCACATACCGCTTCTTTGGAGGTTTAGACACAGTGATATGGCCATTGAGAGATGAGGGAGTTGGAATCTCGGGTGTTAATGGCGAGGATGATGTTCCTAAAGCTTCATCAGAAAAAAAAAAGTTATATTCATAACTTCAACTACTTAATTCAAAATATTTCACAGACCTGATACAGATGTACATATATATGGTAATTTAATGTCTTATGTCTTGGTTGTTAATCTGCAGCCACCTTCATTGCATTTTGTAGATGGAGTCTGTATGTGTGTGTGTGTGTGTGTGTGTGTGGTGGGTAGGGGGGAGGGGAGAGTAGGAGAACGAGGCTTGATCCTGGAACATCTCGTTAGAAAGGATTGACGTGCTATCCATATGAGTGGAATTTTCTTTTTAGGGTTTCAATAAACTTAACTATTTGAATGGTTTCAGGACGTATATCCAGGTTTTGTTTGCTGCTATACTGAGTTAACTTAATATATTATCAGTAATAGATGTACAAGGTTTATGGTTTCAGGACGTATGTCCGGGTTTTGTTTGCTGCTCTACTGAGTTAACTTAATGTATTATCAGTAATAGATGTGTAAGGTTTATGGTTTCAGGACGTATGTCCGGGTTTTGTTTGCTGCTCTACTGAGTTAACTTAATGTATTATCAGTAATAGATGTGTAAGGTTTATGGTTTCAGGACATATGTCCGGGTTTTGTTTACTACTATGCTGGATTTACTTAATATATTATCAGTAATAGATGTGTAAGGTTTATGGTTTCAGGACGTATGTCCGGGTTTTGTTTACTACTATGCTGGATTTACTTAATGTATTATCAGTAATAGATGTGTAAGGTTTATGGTTTCAGGACGTATATCCAGGTTTTGTTTACTACTATGGTGGATTTACTTAATGTATTATCAGTAATAGATGTACAACGTTTATGGTTTCAGGAGGTATATCCAGGTTTTGTTTGCTGCTATACTGAGTTAACTTAATGTATTATCAGTAGTAGATGTGTAAGGTTTATGGTTTCAGGACGTATATCCAGGTTTTGGATTTACTTAATGTATTATCATTAATAGTAATATTATCAGTATTATTAGTTAAGTGGATGCAGAAGGATTCTGTTATATTTCTTTTTCTTACATTTGATTAATGCTACATTGCTTTCATTTTATTCCACTTTCTTCTTGTAGCAATTTAAAGTTAAGAAGTAACAACTGCTCATTTTTAACCTAAAAAAATTGGATAGCAGCTTGTTTGTTCAGGAAGGTGAACACCAGTCTTTCTGAAAAAAAATGTAAGTTTCATTCCAAACATTCTAAAGCCTTCCACCTAGAGCTTGGCAAGGTACTCAAACTAGTCTAGTGAATACTACCACGTGGAAAAAGCACAAAACGTGTTTTGTTCCAAATATTTACGCAAAAGCCTACATAAGCTATGCCTGTTTGACCTGTCCCTAATTTTTGCCAGATAAACTAAAGTGAGAGCAGCTAATTAACAGCACCCACTATTAAATCTTGGGTCACTCTTATAGAATAGTGGGATTTGACCATTATTCGTATAGTCATAAAATGCAGAGCACAATTTTGCCACAAAAGGACTCGAATCATGGATCCAGACCCTCTGATTCCTGCAATGGTACTTTTAACCATTATGCCTACACAAAGAAGCGCCTATAGAATTATTCTTGTTTGAATAACCAGAAGTAAGCAAAAAGAATACAGATAATATGAAATCGGTAAACAACCTGTAAAATGTATTACTTATGAACTGGTTTGGTAGTAATGAAAATTTTTGTAGTGACGGTAATTACAAATAACGCAAGTTATAGATTTTAAAAGCTTTGTTTTTTGTTTTAATTTAAAAGTGAAATAAATCTTCTAAACTGCTTAGTTTTTAGAATTTCGTGAATTTGGGTGTTGTATAAATTTTCGTTGTCATAAATATTTCATAACTAACATTGGTGAGACTGGCTATTTCGGAGATTGAAGGTTGATTTACCATGTGCTAACACTAACAGAGCTTGTTATGATCTTGGTTTGCACTCGTAGACTGTGCTGCATAACTGTTCTATTAACATTTCTAATATCTCCCTGTAAAATTATTATGTGCAAAATATTAGAACATTTTAATTTAGCAAAAGATAGACAAACATATTTTGGAATATTACATTGTCTTAGTCTTACTACTCAGTGTTTCAACATTTTGCTCTCCATCAAAATTCGCTTACTTTTATGCTTTAAATAGTTGTAAAATTTCTCGATAGATGGCGAGACAGATCACTAATATTCTTCTTTAAAAAGACTTTTTTTTTTTTTATATTAGTTAGTTGACAAAGACTTTCAACAAAAAATCTGCCGGAGAAAAGGTAGTGGTACGATGTTTGATCCACTAAAGTGTATTTTAATCAGAATCTAAAGATTTAGAACAACGTCGTTTTGTTCCTATAACGTGCAGTTTACACAGGATCCCCCAAAAAAGGGGGGGACAACCTTTCGAAGTACTGCAGTAATTTCATTTTTATTCCCTTTGGGTCGGATTCGAACCCGAGATATTATTTAAGCACACCAAAATTATACAGTGAAGACATTTCATTAACTTGTACCTTGTTAATAATCATAAAACTAAAAAGGAACGACATTTCGAAGAAAATACACTTAGTGTATCTTTTCACCACCAGGCTATCTATTGAAAATCTTCGTTATATAAAGACTTCACTACCGGATATAAAAAAATCAAATTACCTGTATTATGGACATTCTGACATAATTCGAGTTTTAGCGTGCTTTTAGTTGAAGATTTGGAACTAGTGCTTTGAGCGACACCTGGCTGTTCACTCCTGAGCGTCTCTTCGTACTAGCATTAAAAAAAAAAAATCACCATCATCAGACTGACATTGGAATATACCTCAATAGGAGAAAGTATGAAGAAACACAGCGGAACTTTTTAAACGCATATTGGCAACGTAATGATTACTTACCCATAGGGTCCACGATTTCCCCCACCCCCCACATTTTTATTTTCAATAGTAGGTCTGTACGTTAGCGTTTAACAAAGTAACTCGGGTTTCTCTTTGATAGTTTTTTACCTGTTGAAAACAGACATAAATGGAGCAATTGAAAGGTAACACCGTTAAAAGGAAATGCCCAATATGCATTATTTAGGCCGAAAAAAGGGGGGGGGGTAATCGCCCACGAAGCTCATTTAGCCAAAAAGTTAGCTATTATTTTCGTCTTTGCGGATTTTTTGTTGTTGCTGGTCATCGATATGTTCTTTTCAAGATACCGAATACACTGTTTATTTTCATTATCCTTCCTCTCCAATTCAGTTCACTTTAAAGCTTTTATAGAGGTTTGTTTGATTGCGTGTGTTATTAAGAAGAAAAGTACAATGTGAAGTACCGAAAAAAAGAACCTCCTTGTATAGTTCAATTATAATTATTAAAGGCAATAAAAAAATAGCTACCTTTCATGTCTGGAATAAAGAATAATAATAATACTTGGCTTTTTGAACTCCATGACCCGAAGTATGTATCCGTCCCACAGTTAATCTCTCTCGATTATTACATCAGGATAATTTAAAACATACGTATATATATTTGGCTACATCCGACAGAGAATAAACCCTACTTTTTTTGGTTTGAAACAGTTATTATTATTTGGCTAGTACATATTGTGTGAAATTATTATGACCAAATATCGCAAAAGTTTATAATATCAAAATTCAGAATTATCACAATAAACGATGTACTTTTTGTTGTTTTTTTTTCATTTGTTAAGTACAAGTATCTTTTTCTCGAATATTTAGCGCCATAATTGTGCAAATCAGTTTATCTTTGTGTTCCCGTTTAAATATGTACTTTTTGCTATATGTTCAATCTGAACGACATTTTATGCGACATAAGGGCTAAACGCCTGGTCAGAGACTCCATAATTCGAGTAAGGCCTCCCCTAATTTAGAACAACTTACCAGAGACAGACCAATCAGACACCAGTATCGGCCGCCTACACGATTCTACATAACCGACTCGTGAGATCGGCTCTCATTATTATCACCCTTCCACAGTTGAAAATGTGAAGCGTGTTTTGTGGCTTTCTCGACTCAAACCTTGGACCTTCCGTTTTAAAGCGCAACACGCTAACCACTAAACCACGCCTGGCCCCGCGAGTTAAAACGACTCGTGTGTACACGTTTGTAAACAAAAATTTGTGCAAAGTTTGCATGCAGTTATTAATATTTTACTGAAATATTAAATTTTTCTTTAAAGTTGGAAAGTGTTTCACCCAGTTGTTCTGTTAAAAAATATTTTGATATTCAACAATGAGAAAAAAAAGAACTTTTACACTTACGAGTTTTGTGTCTGTGTTTTTCTAGTCCCTGCGTGGAATCATTACTTCTAACTTGATACTAACAACAACTGATAAAACCAAAAAATTACCATTTAGATTTTTTTGTGTTACAGTTAAACATAGATTACAAACTGGGTGTTTATACATACTTGTTTTGCCAATTCTGTGTAAGAGTCTCTTTCTCCTGGTTCCAGTTGTGTCCACCAGTCTTGTAGCACCATCGTTAAATTGCCGTTCTCTAGATGTGGAAACCGTTCTCGCACCATTTCAAAATTTCTGTGGCAGAAAATGACAAATCCATTAGTGGCCCAGTGTACTCCACGTTTCACACCTCCTTCTTCCTTCTCTGTTTGTTTGTGGCCTTCTGTGTCTTCTAGTTCCGTCTAGCGAAAAGAAAACTATTTAACAAAATATGGCAAACATTCACGTAACAAATGCCATTCAAAAAAATAGGGTTAACAAAACGTAGCAAACGTTTACATAACAGATGCCATCTAAAAAATAGGGTTATCAAAACGTAGTAAACGTTTACATAACAGATGCCACTAAAAAATAGGGTTAACAAAACGTAGCAAACGTTTACATAACAGATGCCATCTAAAAAATAGGGTTAACAAAACGTAGTAAACGTTTACGTAACAGATACCATTCAAAATTACAAAACAAATGCCATCCAAAAATAGAGCTACAATTTACGTTACAGCTAAATTAAGTTTTAAGTATGCGATAGCGGGTTTTTCTTTTATCAAATATTTCATAAACCATCAACAGTCTTTTAAAAGTCTCACTATTTGTTGTTTAACTAATTATCAGTTATTACAGTAATAACGGTAAGTGCATATTTTTTTAAAGGTAAAGTCTAGTAATATTTACGATCCCCTTAATAATTGTAAACTAGGGGATCTACATTTATCAGACGTTGTGGTTTGTTAATGACTGTTTATAGTTACACAGTGGGCTGTCTGCGCTCTGTCCACCGCGGGGAATCGAACTCCTGATTTTAGCTTTTTAAGTCCTTAAATTTTCGCTGACCTTCAAGAGACTTTGTCAAATGCAGAGTGCAGATAGTCCATTTTTTAGCTTTTTGCTTAATAAACAACCAAACGAAATTAAGCAATAGACTTATTGATATTGTCTCCCCACAGCCCCTCCCCCAATGGTATGTCTGCGAACTTATGCTGCTAGAAACCGGGTTTCGATACCCGTGGTGGGCAAGAGCACAGATAGCCCTATGTGTAGCTTTGTGCTTAATAACAAACGACAACGTTTCCCCACATTTATAGTGACGTTTCAAACACTAGCTAAGAATAACTACGAAAAAAAAAATACTGTTCTCCAATAGATCAATAAAACTGTCGTGGAAACATTTAAAGTGTTTTTAATATATAAATTGTAACCCTCTTACATCGTTGGAAGATCTAGTAAGTCACACGCTAGCGACATCTGTACTTTAACATAAAAACTATAGCCTATCATCTACAAATCTACCTACAAAACGGAACTTAAAGACAACGGTAAGGCCTCGTCAACGCTGGATATGGCAGATGTAGTGTAAGGCCTCGTCAACGCTGGATATGGCAGATGTAGTGTAAGGCCTCGTCAACACTGGATATGGCAGATGTAGTGTAAGGCCTCGTCAACACTGGATATGGCAGATGTAGTGTAAGGCCTCGTCAACGCTGGATATGGCAGATGTCATTAATGAAAGCCAAGGGTTTCTGATTGAAGCCCTAAACAGGACAGACATCTTAAAATCTTGGTTTATTATTATTTGCCACTCTTGGAGTTCTTCAAAGCTGAATAAATGGTAATTAAAACCTCATACGATTGGCTTGGTGTACCTTGTGTGTGTGTGTGTCTGTCTGTCTGTGGCTATGTTTCTGTTTAAATTAAGGCTGTTGTGTCTTGGTGAATTCAAAGATATGTGTACATGTGTTCAAGGTTTTAGAATGCTGGGTTGTTGTGTGTCATATTGTAGGATTGAGAACAAACTGTGCTTCAATGGGAGAATTGTCTATTGAGTGTTCAAGGTTTTAGAATGCTGGGTTGTTGTGTGTCATATTGTAGGATTGAGGACAAACTGTGCTTCAATGGGAGAATTGTCTATTGAGTGTTCAAGGTTTTAGAATGCTGGGTTGTTGTGTGTCATATTGTAGGATTGAGAACAAACTGTGCTTCAATGGGAGAATTGTCTATTTCTATTGAAGCCTTAATAATCTGGGTAAAAGAGAATCAGTGTCAGGGCAAAAGTTTGAGCAAGGGTCGTAGTTCCAGCCCTCAGCCTGGGCTGATTTCTTAACATCTTGATTAATTATAATTTAAAAAAAAAGTGTGAATAAATCGAGGCACAGTATTAACAGAGCATAAAGATTTCATACCTCAATATAAACAATATTTCAGCACTTACCACTTTGATTCACCGGGGTTGTGTTTTTCGTTAAGTCCTGCTTTACCAGTCCATGTGTTATATCGGAGACAGGTTGTGAAAGGTTTGGTATACTTTCAATCCCTTCTGCTTGACTAAAAAAGGAGTAAATCATGCTTTAACATATAATTTTCTATTTATAATTATGCATGCAATGTGTGCAACGATATCTGTAGACGAGACAAACAGCAACAAACCTTGAATCCTATTGTTCTCATTTCCTGTATCATTTTCATTCTGTGCTGTATTTTTTTCTGTAGACTTTGCCTGTCCAGTTGTTGTCCTGACTTGCTGTCCAGACTGGTTATGTTGGACTTTGTAAAGGTTCTGTAAGTCTTGGCTAGTGTTTGTTGAGGTGGGAGACTGATTCTGTTCTTTGATAGGCTCTAAAAAAATTAATTAAATACTAAAACAAAACTCCTTAATTTCTGTGTTGTACACTGTACAGAAGTCTTGTAATTATTTATAAAAACATCTTAAGAAATGAAACTTTGATTTATTACCTGTTATCGTGTTTTCATATTTCCTCAGATGAGAAATATTGAGTGACACTTTCACAATATGTGAAACATTATTTTTTTATAAAGGTTAATATTCATTGGATCTGTAGCAAAATAACCAAAACATTAATAACATTTTATCACAAAGAAAATCTGTGTCTTTAAATTGTGAGAAAGAGTGAATAAACTATGAAACACGGTAAAATCCAGTAGTTTATAAAGCAGTTAATACGTTCTCTACTAAAATCTTTATTAAAACTACAACTTTTAAAACAAAATTTTGAAGAGGTTTCTTGCATGTTTATGATAAGTTCCATAAATGTATTGTATTACAATATTTCATTGATTTAAAAAAGAAAAGACCAACAGATGTGTTATAATTTCTGATGCAATAATTGCCTGTTTTAAGTCTTCAATCTTTTATTCACAAAACTGGAATTATTAAAATGATGCTTCTGGTTCATATTTCTTGACTTAAAGTTTGTTTTTTAATCTCGAGTTGTTTAACTGGTTCGGTGGAAATAGCCTAATTCGCTCAAGGTGGTCAAAACTGAATGTGAGATAAGGTTGTGCTTACGGCCAGAAACTTCACTACTACAAGTTATTGTTTTATGACTTTACATATCTCTAGTAAAAACAATCTATTAAATTAGCTTTATTCATTACTGGTCCAAACTTTAGTTCTGATCTGTGTAGGTCCTTTCTCAACTTTCCACACACACAAAAAAGATTCACTGACTGCACTACTTAGGATTAACACAAACGTAACATCTACAGATTTTTAAATTGATCAAAGTAAACCAAAAAAATTTAACAAAGGCACTTATTTCATGCTAGTTCTCTGATTTTCAGTCCACAATTAGCTGCTCTACTTCCTATAATAAAACATCAAACCTTATTTTGCATATCCAGTACTTTTGGTTATGTCCCTCTGTGTTGTTAGTGGTAAATTTATGGACTTGCAAAGCTAAGATGTGGAGTTCGGTTCCACACAGTGGACAGAGCTATTCACTTAAGCAACAACAACAAGTTTTGGTTATAAGTGACATTTCGGCATTGCTTGTGAAGTTAGGCCTTTCGTTAGTTATATGAAACTTGTAATTAACGAAATAACTTAGTCGTTTTCATTAAGCAGACTAGACTTATTATTTTATTTAACAAAAGTATAAAGAACCAACTTAAAAAGAGACCGTTGCAACAATAAATACCTTTTTAGTTTTTCATTAGTGTAAGAACAAACAAAATCTGAAAATTATATCATTTGTGTTCAACTCCGTCTAGTACTAGTAGCAGTTACCAGAAGTACAGTTTCTGATTGTTGTCTTTAAAAGAGCTAATGCTTATTTGCAATAAATTCTAGAATATGGGTGAACTCTTTACAACATCAGACTACAGTTGAAATTTGGAATATCTAGGTGACGTGTTGTATTGGGCTACTTAGACATTTAAGTGACGTGTTTTATAGTTTCTAATTTCTCAACTTCACAAAAAAAAATGAAAATGGTTAAGATCCTGTTTCATTCCATTAACCTCTCTGACAGGGCAGATCGTAGACATTTGGTGGCCCCAGGCAAACTTATTTTTAGTGGCCATTTATAACAGTATTTAAGAACTTTATATTATGTGGAATAAGTAATAACTCATTGAAAATTGATATGCATAAAAAAAACAACATTTAATTGAATGAAAAGTTTTATTTTAACACAAAATCATTTAACTTTAATTTAATGCAAAAGCTGATTTGAGATTTGAAATTCAATTTATTCCTGTTAATTTTTAAATTTATATTAGAAATTTGGTGACCCCAAGCGGCTGGTCTGCTGTTCTGACTGGCTCTGCCTTTGTGATTGTTATAACTAAGAATGGGAGACATTAAACCATGATAAAGTGGACTGTTATAGAAATTTCAATTAGTTTAATTCATGTTTGAATGGTTAAGATATTGCTAACAAGTTGTGCCTGTTCTAATTATTGTTTGTTTGTGTAGTTGTCACACTCATAAGGAAATATTTTTATATGAATTAGACAAGTTGTGATTTATTTATCATGATCACGAGGAAATATTTTCTCAAATGGCATGGATTACCCAATAAAATAATAAGTCTAGTCTGCTTAATGAAAACGACTAAGTTATTTCGTTAATTACAAGTTTCATATAACTAACGAAAGGCCTAACTTCACAAGCAATG